TCTCTCTCATATAGACAAATGATCAGTAAAAGTTTAAATCATACTAGAGTAAAAATTCATATGTTTATGTAACAAGTCATAGTTTCTTTGTAGAGTGTTAGTTAATGATTAAGTTATTATAATCACTTAATTATTAATGACAATGTCATCAACACAATTTGTACAACATCTTTATCAACTAACAAATGGTTATATATAAAAAGATCACAAATTCATTAAAAAATTCATCTTTGATTGATTGACAAATCAGTCCTCATTGAAAAGAAGACAATCTACTACTAAGATATGAGTCGTCACCTCTTGAGAACATACATGATATGATGAAGAATTTTATTTTACTATATAAACTTGAGGATAAAATTTTCTAAGATGTGCCCTACCTCTATCCTACTTATCTACATTAGGTGATAGTGACTAGATACTTAAAAATCATTATTTTTTTACTTTATTAGATGACAACCATCACAAATGATTCATCAACCTATTCTATTAATTTTTAAACTTTGTAAGAAATCTAGAGAATGACAACATCGTCTATATTAAAAAAGAGATTTTGAGGTTGTAGATATTGCCCAACAATTCTTTCGAAAATATATAATTCTAACAATCACTATAACGAAGTTGAAACTCTATAATTCTTGTTGTAAACTTAATATTTTTTTAGTAAGATTTTGTGTGATTTTTAGTTTCAAAAACTTTTTTCATTCATTATAATTTTTTGGCTTTTATAAATTTTAATTTAACTAATTAAATTATCTATAATTATTTAACTAAGAATCATTTGACAAAACTTTATTTCTACTTGAATCACATTTGTCTAGCTAGTGATGTCGTCTTGACACCCACACTTGATTTTTTTTCATAATTTTTTAAATATTTTTTCTTCATCACTTAGTCTAAAAATCATGAAACATTATTCTTTGAGAAAAATTCTAAAATATTACTAAATATTATCTTATATCCTTGTGGTAAACTTGGAAATTTCTCACTATTTTTTTAAAAATAACAACTTATAATTAATTTATTTTAAAAAATATATTTATAAAAATGAAAAATATTAATATTTTTTAGCTTTATAATTTTTAAATTTATATGGTTTATTATACAATGATTAGGTCAAGTGTGTGATCCATTGAGATAGCTAACATAATTTATTTAGAGTACTTCAATCATAATACAAGCATCTTCTTAATGAATAGACTTGAGGAATAAATTCATTTGAGATGTGCCCCACCCTCTCTAACTCAATTCGACTAAGTGACATTCATTATAGACACATCATTACCAAACTTTTATTCTATCAAGTGACTATTGTCAAAATTACTTTATCAAACCTTCATCATTTTGTTTTCGCATGAGAATCTTAAAAGTGCTTACATCATACATGCTCAAAAGAGTCTTTAAGGTTGTAGACACTACTTAAAGATCTTCTTGAACACTTAGAACTTTAACTATTGCTGTTGCAATATTTAAACTTTATTTTTCTTATTTATCAAAACTTTATTAATCTTTAAATTAGTGATAGTTTTTTTAATTTAAGTTTTGATATTCTCCTTTAGTTTATTATGATTCATTTGGTATCTAATTTCATCAATTGAATCATATATAATTATTTACATAATAATTTTTCAAAAAAAATATTTTTACTTGAATTATTATTCTCAAGATCTTGATGTCCCCACAAAGTTTTCTGATTTTTTTAAATTTAAAAATAGTTTCTTATAATCTTTAGTTCAAAAAGTATTAAAAATATATTCTTTAAAAAAAATTTACTTGATATTATCCAAAGTTCGACTTAGAAAATGCTCACTATTTTTGAAACTCTTTATCAAATTCAAATTGATATTTTCTCAAAAAATATGTATAAAATATAAAATTTAATGTTTTCTAGTTATGTAAATCATAAATTTGTGTAATTTATTACACGATGACTAAGTTATATTAGTTATCATCAAAATAATTATCTTTAAGAATATTTTAATTTCAACTAATTAGGGTCCACCCAAGCATAAAGGAAGTCCACATAATGAATGCCCCCCTTACATTTTTTTTTGGTCTCACTTGTTTGGTTGTGAGGGTCAATTACAATAACGGAGAAAAATAATCACACCACATCAGCCCTTTAACTTTGTCATATTTACTACTATTAGCATTTGTTTCTAAGAACTTGATTAGTACAAAGGCATTTTCAAAAAATATATATAAACCTTTTTTAGGATTCCCATGTAGTATAAATAATTTTAATATGAAATTGTTCTGTTTTAAGCTCCATAAATCTAAGTCAACAAATCATTATGATAGGCATTTCCTCATTTCATCAAATGGGCCCATTTTAGAGAGAAAAGCAGATAACACTTGTTTTAAGTACAAATAAACTATTACCCTAATGGGGCAAGACCATTTGATGTCAATGCACTAGATCGATGATTCCCTCTGTCCTCCATTAGAGAGAGAGGAGAGAGAGAGAGAGAGAGAGAGAGAGAGAGACCACGTCTTAATCAACTCCCAAAGACGACACGTTAAATGATGGCCGCCGACGGTCGTCGTAGGCACGTTTCATGTAAAACTGGCTTTCTTATAAAACTGGCTTCCTCGTTGTCCATCCTCATGGGGGTTCGCGTGTTGTGGGGTGCTTCTGTCGGTACATGCATGCGTTATCTCTCTCTCTCTCTCTAAACCCGTCCCCTCCCGTCCAGCATCAACTGTGGAGAAATTTTCTTGGAAAATTTATTTTGGATCCATCTGCTGACGCATCTTGTAAATCTACCCACGCCGTGCCGACCAGGCAACCCATATTGGCAATGACACGGCAACGTATTTCCCGACGCCAAAAGACGGAATATTACGAAAGCATCCTGCCTTCCGGCAGACGGGCCGCCTCCATGTGGTTGCTTACCGGTGGCCCCCACAGGCCACGTGGACGGTGCCCAGATCCAGATACGCGATGATGGAACCCTCTACCAACCGATCCACTCACCCCCCCTTCAAACAAGGTGCCATTAAAAATTTTAATTCATAATTTAATTATACATTATAAATTATTAATTAGTTAATTACCTATATGGCTCGTTAAGTCGCCTCACCGTCACATCGCCCGTTGCCGCCGTTAGGTCGCGAGGGCCTCTCGCTTCCCTGCTGGCGAGGTCCCTCATAGTCAACGCTAATCGTTAAACGTTGACTTTCCCTGTAGACGGAAAGGTATAAATGTAGCTTGTCTGTGCTGGGATTCTAGTACAATCCCCCGTCCGCCGATTCTTCCTTCAGCCACAAGATTTCTGAATAATTTGTAAAATATAGAAATACATATATTATTTACGAATGTGATCTTCTTTGGTGGAAAGAACCTGCGAAACCGCCGACATTTGCGGTGGCTGTGGACCGCTGGATTGTGATCGGACGGTTGAGGATTCTGGCGCAGGCGATGAGGGCCGCCCATGAATGGCAATATCTAACAGTGAAAAAATAAATTGTCGAGTCCAGGCGGTAATGGGGTAGGTGGTTTCCGTTAAGCTAAACTCTACCGAGCAGAACATCCTACGCGTCGGCGTGGCGCAGAATTTACCGCGGCCAGAAGCTAATGGCTGAAGAGATTTTGCCTCTTTACCCTCGATTCTTCCGTAATTACCCGTTCTTACCACCCTGCGTGTGATCTCGCATCAGGTAGAACGGACCTCCTGACAACTTTAGAAAGAGAGAGAGAGAGAGAGAGAGAGAGAGAGAGAGAGAGAGCAGGTGGAGATGGGCACAGGTAAAAGGAAGGAGAAGAGAGAAGATGGAGATAGAGAGAGAGAGAGAGAGAGAGAGAGAGAGAGAGAGAGAGAGAGAGAGAGAGAGAGAGAGAGAGAGAGGGGAGGGAGGGAGGGAGGAGGGAGAGGGACAGGTACAGGTACAGGAAGACGACGACGACGGTGGGAGGGCTGCTGCTGTTATATACATATATAGAGGGAACGAGAATAGATGGAGAGGTAGGAGACAGTGGAATGGGGGAGGCAGAGGGACTGGCGCTTTGATGCAAGGGAATTGTGATGGTGGCGGAGTAGGGCCTCCTCTCTCTGCTCTTCTTTTCTCCTCTATTGGTCTCCCTCCTAGTGGCCGGCGTCTTTGACACGACGGCCGTTGTGCGACGGTCGAAGCGCGTGGGAGCTACAGGTAGAGAGCTCAGAGGAGAGAGCGACATCGAGAAAGATCGATCACGAAGTAACTCCTCTCTCTGTCTCTCTCTGTCTCTCTCTGTTAATTGGTTGACTGGTGACTTAATTATTATGTTTTCATGGTCATTTGCTCGCTTGCTTTGGTTGCTAAAGCTTCCTCCTCTTTAGATCTATCTAATTCTTTACTGCATGATACGATAGGGGATTATAAGTCTGATCTCTGCTGCGCGTATTTCTTCCCGCCATTTGGATCACTTATTTGTGTTTGTATATCATCTCTGAGTCTTCATTTGGAACTTCATTCTCCTCGGTTGATCATGATCCTCGAGATGTGAAATTCGGACTTAGCAGAATTGTCTTTTTCTTTAGCCTTAACGACAGCCCCAGTCCGGTGGTCTGATCCCTGATATCTGGGATTAACTCTGATATAATTCAGCCCGTTCAGATTGTATGGCCAAGAGTTGATTTATGACTTCCGATTCTGATGTGTCTAGTCATTCCAATATCACTACAGTAACCAGGTGGTCTTCTTCACTCTGTCAACTGCACGTCCACCTGAGTACGCTTGCGATCCATATTGATCTGGAACCTCAGCATGAGTATCTATTTCGAGTTTCAAGTTGTGGGACAGCCAATCTGCTCCCCTATGCTGCTGCCTAGAATGATCTTAAAATTCGAACGAAAGTCTTGAAAGCAATCTATTTTTTCGTCTGCATTGATGATTCTCATGTTCTGTTGTAACAAAAAAATCGTAGGAAGTGTATGATTTACATTCCTCAATTTAAATGGCTAGTTTATGCGCTCTCCTGCTTCCTTGTCAGTTTCAGGTTGTTGATCCAATAATCCAAAATGAAGGGTAAAGATTCCAAACCGGAAAGGAAAAATCCCGAGAGAAGTTCTCGGATGGTCCCCTTAACATTGATGTTCATAGTTCTATGTGGATTCTCATTTTATCTGGGCGGCATTTATTATTCGGAAAAAGGAAAATTCTCACCGTGGAATGTAGTTCCTGAACCTTCTGCTAAAACTGCCATAGCTCCTCTTCGCATGAAAGCCATTGCTTTCCCGGAGTGCAGCAAGGATTATCAAGATTACACCCCATGCACAGATCCAAAGGTACACTTAATTTCTGGGTCCTCGTTTCATTTTATTCTTCTAGAGAATTGCTGAATCATCAAACAAACAAATAAGACTTTGGACATGATTAATATTTGAAATTTTCCGTCGTGCAAAAGTAGGGACAAGTAATGAAATAAAAAATAAGATATAACATTTTTTTTGTTATTGCATAAATATACTTCTCCTTCCACTACGTGGTTGTATGAAACTATGAAAAGTAACAATTGATATCATTACTCTTCCTACTGGCAGAGGTGGTGGAGCTATGGCAAACATCGACTATCTCATATGGAACGCCACTGTCCTGCTAGAGCGCAGAGAAAGGAGTGCCTGGTACCTCCCCCAGATGGGTACAAGATACCAATCAGGTGGCCGAAGAGCAGAGATGAATGTTGGTACAGGTAATATATTCTTTCTTGGCTTCCCGTCTCTGATGTCATACTCTGAATGCTCCTTCGATTATCATGAAAGGAAAACAGATGAATGGAAGGCAAAGGGACTGCATTTTAGTGTCCTGTAAATTTTCCTTGAGTCTTAATTATTCACCTCTATTTAATTCATCGGCTGATGAAATTATTTTAAGAATCTTTTTCCTCTGACATATCTCCAGAAACGTTCCATATGACTGGATAAATAACGAGAAATCGAATCAGAACTGGCTGAGAAAAGTAGGTGAGAAGTTTATTTTCCCCGGCGGCGGCACCATGTTCCCCAAAGGAGTCAGTGCATACGTCGATTTGATGCAAGATCTGATCCCTGGAATGAAGGATGGAACTATCAGGACTGCCATCGACTCGGGATGCGGGGTAACTTGATTTGCCCTCCCTCCTCTGTATCCAAGTTTGACTTTTTCTCGCAACATTTTGATGTGGTGATAACAGTTTCTTCTCTCTGATTGATTCCTCCGATTCGACGATTATAATCAATGCTTTCATCGAATCCTCCTCTCATCAGATTAGATAAAGTCCATTACAATTTGGTTGCTGCAGGTGGCAAGCTGGGGAGGTGATCTGCTGGATCGCGGAATTCTCACTCTCTCCCTGGCACCGAGGGACAACCACGAGGCTCAAGTTCAATTTGCCCTCGAACGTGGCATTCCAGCTATCTTGGGCATCATCTCCACGCAACGGCTTCCCTTCCCTGCCAATTCCTTCGACTTGGCTCACTGTTCTAGGTGCCTCATTCCATGGACAGAATTCGGTAAACATATTTCTTTTCTCTCTCTCTCTCTCTTTATACCCCATGCATATCTTTCTTCGTTAATTCCATCCATCCATCCAACCCCCCACAAAAAAGAACGTTTTTTTTTTAAATTTCTCCAGGTGGGCTCTATCTCATGGAGATCCACAGGATCCTCAGGCCGGGGGGGTTCTGGGTTCTCTCCGGACCCCCAGTCAACTACGAGAACCGGTGGAAGGGATGGAACACGACCATCGAGGAGCAAAAGTCAAATTGCGACGGACTGAAGAAGCTGCTGACGAGCATGTGCTTCAAGCTGTACAACCAGAAGGATGACATCGCCGTGTGGCAGAAGGCCTCCGACGGCGCCGCCTGCTACGACCAGATGAAGACGCCCGGCTTCTACCCTCCCCAGTGCGACGATGGCACCGATCCGGACGACGCCTGGTACGTGCCCCTCCGGCCGTGCGTCTCCGTCCCCGGCCGGCAGTTCAAGAAGCTCGCCGTCGGCGCCGCCCCGAAGTGGCCGCAGCGGCTGCTCCTCCCGCCGGAGAGGATCTCCCTGGTCCCCGGCGGCCACGCCGGCGGCTTCAACCACGACAACAGCAAGTGGAAGGAGAGGGTGAAGCACTACAAGGCCCTCCTCCCGGCGCTCGGCACGGAGAAGGTTCGCAATGCCATGGACATGAACACCCTCTACGGAGGCTTCGCCGCCGCCCTCATCGACTCCCCTCTCTGGGTCATGAACGTCGTATCCTCCTATGGCGTCCGCTCCCTCGGCACCATCTTCGACCGGGGTCTCGTCGGCACCTACCACGACTGGTAAGAGAACCCCCTTCTCTCTCTCTCTCTCTCTCTGCAACTTCACACAGGAACAAACTTCGCCGTCATCATCAACACTCTCCGACGGATCCATCTTCTTGAAACCTGGATTATATCGACGTGGTAATTGTCTACCCAGGTGCGAGGCCTTCTCGACGTATCCCCGGACGTACGACCTGCTCCACCTCGACGGCCTGTTCGCCGCGGAAAGTCATAGGTCAGCGTCTTCTCTCTTTCTCTCTCTCTATGTCAACTCCATTAGTTTGACTAGTCGACTGAACCGAGCAGGTCTCTCGGGGAAGACAGGCAGCTGTCTCTATCTATCTATCTATCTGTCTGTCTGTCTGTCTATTTCTATGTCAACGCTGTGAGTTTGACCCGTCTGTGAAACATAAATCGTGACAGGTGCGAGATGAAGCTGGTCATGCTGGAGATGGACCGGATCCTCCGGCCGGGGGGGTACGTGGTCATCCGGGAGAGTACCTACTTCCTGAACGCCATCTCCACGCTCGCCAATGGCCTGCGCTGGGGTTGCCGCACCAACGATACCGAGTACTTCGTGGAGAACGAGAAGCTCCTCATCTGCCAGAAGAAGCTCTGGTACTCCGCCGACGCCACCCTGTAACCTCACCCGCCCCGCCCCCCTCCCTCATGCAGAGGTTATAAAAATTACCCCCCTGTCGGATTAATTTTCCGTCTGTACACCCTCTGTTTTTTTTTCCCTCGTTAATGCAATAAAAAATATGCTGTCGAGCGGACATAATGTCCCGTTTCCTGCGACGGTGGACGGTTCGGATTATTCCGTCCTTAGAAGCTTTGGACGGTGGAGACTCGATCCTGGTACGTCCTCGCAAATCGGTGGGCCAGAATCAATCGACACCGTCCATCTGGTGTGCCCGTTGTCTGCACCTTTTAATAACACCCGGGAACGAGAGTCCACCTGGTGGTCAATTGTGCCGGAGTGGGGCCTACAAGGACGCGTCAGCTCTCGCGTCCTTGTACAGCACGCACGGCTTCATGCCAGGCTCCCATGTAATAAGGCCACGTCACAGAAACTCTGCATCGGGCTGCGTGTTTTGCGAGGACTCGTCCGCACCAGAAGTGGAGACATGCCAAGATAAAGAGACAGAGAGGGAGAGGGGGAGAGAGAGAGGGAGGGTTTTTGGCTGAAGGTCTGCTGGACAGCGGCAGGATTCGACGATCGCTGGCTTTGAGTCCATTCCTCCTCGTAGGAAAGGGAGGAGCTTCGGAGAGGAGTCAGACTCCTTGGGCAGCGTTCAACAATCCTCGGCGATGAGTCTCTTCGGGCTCGGAAGGTGACTCCCTCTCTCTCTCTCTCTCTCTCTCTCTCTCTCTCTCTCTCTCTCTCTCTCTCTCTCTCTCTCTCTCTCTCTCTCTCTCTCTCTCTCTCTCTCTCTGTATCGGTCTCTAATTGTTGATCGCACGGGAAAAACGGAAAGAATGATCTGAGCAAGGAAGCCTGTAACCTAGATTTGCGTTTGCTGCATGACCGGTGCCGCGAATCACCATAGTGGGGCGTCTGAAAGTGATTTGATGTTTTCGTTCGGGGTTTGGCACCGGGGATTTGGTGGCCGCTTCTCATCCCTCTGCTCTGGAATTCGGGTGTTTATATGATATTTCGGGAGACTTTGGGAAACCTCAACGCCTGTTGCCGTGGCGTTTCTTAGCTGCTGGAATGGCTGACTGGGAAATCGAATATCTGCATCTCTAGGAGACCCTTCTCGGAAAGAAGTTGAAAAGTGCTCTCTTCTGAGATACTGTTGGTATCTGATAACTGAGAGACTGACACTGATAAAAAGTTGCCCAAGAACAGGGAAAGCAACGGAGTACAGCTATGTCTTCACATCCTTAAATATTTAGGAGAGGCAGAAAACTTATGGCTATCATAGCTGGGGGAATTCACGTTAAAAATAATTATTTGAAAGGGAGAAAGTTTGCAATCAAAAAGTGGTTGCGGATTTGGAAGATTAAAAATATTGATTAAATTGGTTTCAGATAGAGTTCAATTTGCATACGCAGGGAGGATCTAGGTTCCTTATGAAGAAAGCACCAACAATCCATATAATGGGCAGGTTGGTACAAAGGAAGGCCTTATAAAAAGTTCAAATTTTCTTTCTCGCCATACTAGCATAGGGTAGGCATATGTTATGGAGAGAATCTTTCGTAACTAATTTTTTCAGGTGAAGTGAAACATTTTAGTCTTCTTCCTTACAAACTGTAAAATTTTTCCTTACGTAGAGTTTGATATTAGTAAAGTCTCGTGTAAACATCTTTTCCTCATTTCAATGGGAAAAAAATTATAATAGTTCTTTCATTCCCAGGAGATGAATACTTTGGAAGATATGATATCTCCAAAAATAAGTACTAATTTTTCTTTCTCATTTTTCTAGAAGAAAACAGCATTGAAGTTAGATTGTAGCTGTAGACAGTTTGTAACGATGCTACTGCTTTCAAGAATTTCAGATATTTAAAATCAGCCACTAGTTTGGCAAAGTTTTGGTGACTGATTGTATTACAAGCCCGTGTTTTCTCTTCTCCAAATCAAACATTAGGCATGCAATCTTTTCATCGTTCTACAAGTATCTTTTTGTCTAAAGTTTTCAGAATTTTTGTTCGTCTTGCTCATAGATATTGCTATCCGAGTTATCTTTATTTAGGTTGAATTGGTTAGTTCAATTCCATTCATTATCAAGCATACTACTGAAAAGTATAAGCGCATTATACTATCTGCACAAATTTCCTTCCCAATAATTTGATACTCATCTGGCAATGATGTCCTTATCTCTAACAGGAGTCAGAAAACTTTTCGCCCAAAAAAGAGTGCACCATCTGGGAGCAAGGTATTCCTAATAAAATGATTTACGTTCTATGGTTTTTCCTTTTCTGATTAGATTCTGCTCATATTTTCATTTCGTGGACAAAATTCGAGGGTGAGTTTTAATAGGTAAAACGATTGTTTAAAAAACGATTCGATATGTCAAGGTGTTAAACCCCCCTCTGCCTGGCCCTTGCACTATTTGGTGTTCTTAATTATTGAACCAACCACCAAATTTCAGAATCATTCTCATCAATTATGGTTTATAAACTGCATGCTTCAAAATTAAGTAATGTGAATGTGTATTGCTTAGGGAAAAAAAGAGTCCAACAAGAAAACAATGATTAATGAAATATGGAGGTTGGACATAAAATAATTGTGTATGCAATCGGAGAAACTGTGTTAAGTTTTAGAACAGAAAATCATTATTCTAATCAAAAGTAATAGTAACCGCCCAATAATGAACATCCTAGGCACCTGACGTACCCTAGATTCCAGTTCAGAATAAGGGCTCAGTGGGTGCGTTTCAAAAGGTTGATAGTACTATAAATGCCTACAAAACAATTAAGAACTGTGGGAGAGAGATTCTGTGGAAGGACAGGTCAGCTGGGAAGGCCTCGATTCATGCCCAGTTCTTACTTGCTCATAAAGCTGTCCCTCTAGTTCTTTTGCTACTTTTCTCTAGGTCAGATACAAACATTTTTTATATTATTTCGTGTTTACTGTCAAGAGCTATCAGAAAACTTTTAGCAAAATCATTTTAGGTTTTTGTTGCCATTTATATCATTACGATCTAGATCAGATGGGTGATCACACATATGTTATTGTATCTATTCACAGTTCTGTACTCTTCACATGAAAGTTTATTCTCATGTCATGAAGGATAAATTATGGTTTGGAGTTGCATAAAATATCTAAAATGTAGTATTATTCTGATGTTGTGGGAAGTCAAGAATTATCATCTTTAGGCTTTTTGTTTGGGATCTGAAAGGTCTACTAGAGGGCAGCCATACTGCTTTGGCTTAGCCTTCCAAGTGGACGATTATGCTCTTGCTGCTCGACTTAAATTCTTTATAAAGTTCTAACTAGCACATCTTCGAGTTTGAACATACGAATTTGTCAAAAGTCTCGTGACCCTAAAAAGCATCTCATATCTTTGGCTCATCTCTTTGGTGCTCTTTCTGTCAATCATGTTTCATTTTCCAATCTTAGATCATGACTGACTCATCACAGATGATTCGAAGATGGAAGGGTCCAGTGGAGTACTGCTTAGATTCAGGCTATCATGCTAGTCAAGATGGATAGAATAATTTTATACTATGCTTTCATTCATATTTGAGGATGATGAAAAATATTTGTCACCTATTTATATAATATAAAAATAAACACAGTTTGTCTCTTCTTTATTTTGGAACCCTTTTCTTTTGGAAGACTGAGAGCGCACTTCGGAATACTGAGAGCCATTGATATTTTGTAACTCACCTTTTTTTTTTGATCTGCAGGGTGCGCAACTTCGGAAACGCATTGATGCCACTCTGGGCAGTGGAAACCTCAGGGAAGCAGTCAGGCTTCCACCCGGGGAGGATGCAAATGAATGGCTCGCAGTGAACAGTAAGCCCTTTTTCATTTGAATTTTGATTGATTTGTTTGCCTAAGGTATTTTCTCCATTTTATGATTCGTCACATATGTTTTCCTGATGTTCCGACTAGTTCCTTCAAATTGAACTGGTATTTCCAAAATCATACATGACGATGATAAAGAGCTCAAGAAGTTGATTTTTCCATTTTTATATATTTTTTATTTTTACCTTTTATGCATACTATTGTTTAGCAGAAAAATCTGAACGTGAGGAATTTGTTTACAGCTGTGGATTTCTTCAATCAGGTGAATCTTCTCTATGGCACTCTCACAGAGTTCTGCACTCCTGAGAACTGCCCTACGATGACTGCCGGTCCCAAGTAAAAATACCTTTTTCTTTTCCTTTTAAAAAAGCTTATGCAATGGTGAATGGTAGGAAATATTACAGAAAATATTTAGAATTTAACCGTCTATGTCTGTGACAGGCCACTTTGCCTTTTTCGTAGTTATTCCGGTTCAGTCCTAAATGATAATTCCGGCCTACCTCAGCTGGTGGCGAGTCATCTGTGGGTGGGTTTCCACGCCATAGAATGGACTCAAACAAAACTTTTGTGAATGTTCCTGAGATAAGAACGTAAAAAAAATAAATTCTACCCGAATTTTTATTAATCTTATTCTACTTCTTCACTATCTCTGGGTATGATCAGCTAGCAACTAAAGGGCAGCAACCTTGGAAAATACTTCAATTCTATGATCACACGTGGAAACCAACCGTTTAGGAGTTTTTGACACCCCCACATAACACATCCTGCCTCACTTTCAGGATCATGTTCGTAGATGTCCTTCTACTGCTTTAAAAAAAAAAAACTTGTACTTTTCCTCCGATATAAACCAAACGGAGCTTGACATCCATATAGGGTTCTTCATCCCACCCCTCCTTATTTTCCAATCAATTTGCAGGTACGAGTATCGATGGGCTGACGGGGTGCAGATAAAGAGGCCCATAGAGGTCTCCGCCCCAAAATATGTCGAGTATTTGATGGATTGGATAGAGGTTCAGCTGGATGATGAATCCATCTTCCCCCAAAAGCTTGGTAAATATTGAATTTCTCTTACTTCTGGATCTTCCTGTATGTGATAAACATGAATGTGTCTGCAGGAACCCCATTCCCTCCAAACTTCAAGGAGGTGGTGAAGACCATCTTCAAGCGCCTGTTCCGCGTGTATGCTCACATATACCATTCGCACTTCCAGAAGATCCTGAGCCTCAAGGAGGAGGCGCATCTCAACACCTGCTTCAAGCACTTCATCCTGTTCACCTGTGTAAGTTGGGCCGGTATCCTACTCTCAATCATGGAGATGAATGGAATGGGTCCCAGGTGGGTGGATCATATAATGAGGGCTTTTTCTGGCATCTACAAGATGGGGAATAGGAGAGAACTTCTGAATGAACATGTTCCCATCGAATGAACCTGATGAACTGCCATCATCCAGGGATGAATCTGGTGTAGCTCAGATTCCATGCAGTTCGTTTTTTGGGGATCTTTGATGGTCACGGGCTGGGGACTGGGTAATATGTCAGGGATTCTGTGATCTTTGGTGTTCTGCTGAATTCTGCAACGCAATGCATGCAGGAATTCGGACTGATCGACAAGAAGGAGCTCGCCCCTCTGCAAGAGCTGATAGAGTCCATCATTGTCCCCTACTGAACAGACTCTCCATTAAGGGTTCTTGGTATGTTTATCTGCGCACTTCACTGATATGACAATGCTCTGCCTTCTGTGTGTGGCTTGGCTATGTTCTGGGTGGTGCCCAGCAGGGGGTGCTAATCCTAGAGGAGTGCCCTTCCTTGTCTCCTCGGATCCGAGTCTTTGGACGAATCTTAGAGTGCAGGCGATTGATTGTGAAGATGCAAAATGTGCTCTCCCTGTTAAAGGCAGGATCTCTAGGATGAGTGTTTTTCGTGTTCTAATTGAGTATGTCTCTATTTACATCAATATTGTCTCTCCATCTGAGAGTAGGGTTGAGAGAGAGAGAGAGAGAGAGAGAGAGAGAGAGAGAGAGAGAGAGAGAGAGAGAGAGAGAGAGAGAGAGAGAGAGATTATATGTCTTTGCCATCCATCATTGAGGTAGAGATTTTTGATTTATGAGAAATATATTTCATGAGACCTTTCCCTTCATTCATGGGAAATGAACTATGTGTTTGTGTATAAGTTATTCTTATTAAGATGATGATTATAAGATTATTGATAAGTTTTTATTATAGAGTTATTAATTAATTAATAATATAATTTAAGTTATTCTTATATTTTTATTTAATTAAATCTTAATTTTCTTACAAAGTGACGATTAATGATTAAGTCATCAAAATCACTCAATCATTAGAGAAAATTTTGTCAACACAATCTAGAGCATCATTACCTAAATTATCAAATAATTATAGATAAAAAAATCAGAAATTTATCAAGTAAATTATCTCTAATTGATCAATAAATAATACATTATTAAAAAAAGATGATCTATCAAGAAACAAGTTGCCATCTCTTTAGAATGTATCAAATGTAATGAAAAACTTATTATTTTGCAGACTTGAGGATAAAATTATATTAAAGCTAGATTTTTGTGTTTTAACTAGTTTTATTATTTTGTTTTCATGTGCTAACTTGTGGAATATTTATAGTAAATATTATTAAATTAGAAAGTCCGAGGTTAAAAGATAATGTATTTTTCTAGAAAAATGTAAGTAAAATATTAAAACATCATCACCCACTAAGAACTTGTCATTTGGTAGCTGACCAAGAGGGGTGTTGACCTAGAGCAAGAGACCTGCAATGATGTAGTAGTAATGCAGAAGATAAATAAGATATGAGCTTGAATTCATAAAACTCTAATCTTGAAGAAAAAAATCAGCCTCTGAATTCACAGATTCAATCTTCCACTTTTAAATACACAAGAGAGCACTCAAATCTACAAGTAAAAGGGTTCTCATAATAGAGAAAATTGATTCAACTAAAAAGTCAAGACCTCAGGTTATAATGGGAGCCTTTATATATGCCTATAAAAGAGGTTGAGCACTCCCAAAAAAAGAATCCTGACAGATCCTAATACAGAGTCTGACCAACTCTGAAATAACTTAAAACAGACTTTGACAAATTGAGATCTTGATCAAATCTTTTTAAACTACTATAACTAACTACAAAATGACCTGAAATTGACTCTGAAATACTGAACAGATCTTAGGTATAGACTCTGAAAGTTGTAGATCCTGAGTAGATCTTAGGTATAAATTCTGACAGTCAGAGATCTTGAACAGATCTTGAGTACAGACTGAACCATATTAAAGTCCTTTTCAGAAGAAAATAGACATAAAATAACTTCAAGAGGTAAAAGGATATAAAAGTAAAAAATAAATATTACTTTTCGGACCTCCAATACATTTGTGATATATGTCGACACTTTTTTCAGTATTTTTCACTTTATGACTTAAATTTAAGACAAGTGCCCCCAAATTTAAAGTTGAGAATTCAACTTATGTCTTTGGTTACATCAGTCTCTCTTACTTCAGAAAACTCAACCTCAAGTCCTCATTTAAATTATCTTAATACTCATATATGTCACTGATATGAATGTGAGTGAAATAGTCAGATTTGGTCGGAGCTCAATGATATATGCATTATCATTAATCTTCTATATAACTCATGCAGTCCAACAGCAGAAGCGCTTTATGATGCACCTTGAAGCCCACTTTAGTTTGCTAGTCCAATGACAAAATTAGGCCAATGTATTTATCTTTATTATTTTTTAAATTTTATCTCAAATTCAATTTGAAATTTAAATTTAAACTTTGAATTTCGTTTGAAATTAAATTTTATCCGAAATTCAATTTTTTATTTAATATTTAAATCTTGTCTTTAATTTCAAAATTTTGTTTGATATTAAAATTTCATTCAGAATTAAAATTTTCATTTAAAATTTAAATTTTATTCAAAATTTGATGCAACAATAATATGGAAGATAAACAAGATATGAGATTGACTCCACAAAGCTTTAATGTTGGGAAAGAAACCTGACTCTGAATCCACAAATTCAGAGTCTTCAACCCTTGATTCAACAAGGGAGTGCCTGAATCCAAAACCAGAGGGAGAGGTTCTCACAGCGGAGAAAACTGATTCAGCAAAAGAGATGTCCCTCAGGTTATAATGAGGGCCTTCATATAGGACTAGAAAGGAGGGTGGGTGTTCTCCAAAAGGAGGATCCTGATAGATCTTAATTAACTCTGAAATGACTTAAAACAGACTCTTTTTTGCTCTTGAAAATAGCTACAACCCAACATATCCATTGTCATTTGTGCGGTAAGGCTCGGGAAAAGACAGTGAGGTCTTTGTCTTCTTCCTGAGCTGAATTGAGCCTATCCATTGAGGAAAAACCACTTTCTTCGTGCAAACGCTTTGACTCACTAAACTGATAAGCTGGACCTCCCTACTTACTGGCTTGACTGCACTGAGTTACTGGATTGCCCCTTTTTGTTACAGAAACCTGAGGCGGTTCCGGTTTTTCTGAGGTGTCACATCAACAGCATTTCAAAGGCAGAAAATCAAAGAACAGATTGAGATCTTAAACAAATCTTCTTAAAATACTCTGACATGACCTAAAGAAGACATTCACAGTGAGAGACCCTGAGCAGATCTTAGATAATGACTGAACCACATTAAAGTTTTTTGTAGAAGAAATGAGATATAAAGTACCTTCTAAAAGTGAAAGAATTTAAACTCGGCTAAAATTTAAATCTCCAGCCCACTGGTGACATATGTGGGCTCTTTTTTCTTGTAATTTTCACTTTATAGCCCAAATTTACGATAAGTTGGCCTAAATTTGAAGTTGACACTTCAACTTATGTCTTCGGCTACATCAGTCTCTCCTTCTTCAAAAAAAGTCATCTTCGAGTGTTCATTTGAATCATTATAATATTCATATATGTCACTGACAATTAATGTAGGTGAAATAATCATATTTGGTGGGGGTTCAAGCATTGTCATTGATCTTTTGCAGACCTTGATATGGTTCATATGTCTTTGGCTTCAACTTGTTGTAGTTACCTGTTGAGATTTGCTTTTTACGAAGGTACATCATCACTTTGTCTCCAACTTCAAACATCTTCATTTTTTTTTCTTATCTGCTGCCACTTTATATTTCTCATAATTAGTCATAAAATTGTGTATCACACCTTCATGAAGTGTTTTGATATGATCTACTATATTATTTGCAGTAATATTTGTTCCAACTGGTCTTAGTACTTCTATTAAATGTAATCAAATTCTGAGAGAAAAATAATATACCACTGGAAATGAAGATTGGTTAAAATGGAAATTCTTACAAGAAAATAATGTACAATTTGTCAGAAAAATTTATTGGCTGCTTGACTTGCATCATTTATCTTCTTACATACAATGAAGTGTGCCATTTTTGAAAATCTATCAAGAACTACAAAAACAGAGTCAGCTTTTCTCTGTGTTTGTAGCAGACCTAATATAATATCCGTTGAAATATCAGCCCATGGATGTGTTGGAATAAGCAGTGAAATGTATAGTCCACTATTTTAACTTTGTCCCTTGTAGGTTTCACAAAGCTGACATTTACGAAAATTTTTGAATGAACCAGTAATATTACTCTTCAACAGCCTGTAAAGACATGTCTCAACCAAGGTGTCTGATTAAACAAAAAGAGTGTAATTCTCGTTGTAATTTCTCTCTTAAAGAGCTGTGAGGAAAACATAATGTTATTCCTCGAAATAAGAAATCATCTTGTAGGTGAAAACCTTGATTGATATTCGTGACGTACATATGATATATTGTTGAGAAAAAACATCATCATGATCTAGATATAATTCCTTGAGATAATCAAATCTTATGATTTCAACATGCAGGTTCAGCAAACGTGCTGTTTTTCTACTAAGAGCATCTGCAACTCAATTCACTTTTCCTGACATGTGTTCAACAACAAAAATAAGACGTTTAATGAAAGAGATCTATCTGTCATTCATTCTATTATTCATAGAGGTCTGACATTTTACTGATTTTAGAGACTAATGACCAACATATAAAATAAACTCTCGCTGAACCAAATAGTGTTCCCATGTTTGTAAAGAAGACCACATCATAAAATTCTAGTTAATACATTGTCCATTTTTTCCTTGACTTGGAAACTTTTTTTCTGAAAGATACTATTGGTGGACCTCCAATGCAAACAATAGATGCACTTGAATCTACTTCAAACAGTTTCTCAAAATTTTGCAAAGTAAAAATAGGAGCAAAATATAAAACTTTTACTAACTTCATTAGTTCATTGAAACCGACTTTTTTTTTCTGAGAAGCAGTAATATGAGACATTATTGAGCTAAAGTGTCGAATGAATCTGCTATATAATCATGTCAACCTATGAAAACTGTAGTTGGCATCGACCAATCTATGATAACTATGATTTTTTCCTCATCTACTTTATTTTAATCTGCACTTACAGTCATGAAATCACATTTAATCAAATATTCAATTTGCAAGCTTAATTCTGATGAAGTAAAATGGGATATTGACATGGATATCTATATTAGGCATATTAGGCTGCCATGGCTGTTTAATAGTTATGGTACACACTGGTAAGGAATATATATATAGATATATTCTAGAAAAATGGTAAAAAATTATTTTTTCCCCAATGAGGGAGAAAAAAAGGTAATGTTCATCAACCTTCTGCAAGTACCTTCAGTATGTACCATCAAACTTTCTTTAAAAAAAAGTTGACGAGTTCTTAAGTAAAGGATTCATAAGAGAATCTATCAGCTCATGCTCTCTGCATCCTTTACTTTTTCCAAAGAAGGATGAAAGTTGGCTGATGTGTGTAGACAGTAGAACTATCCATAAGGTCACAGTTATGTATAGCTTCCCAATTTTACGACTAGTTGAGCAGGGGATACACTTGACAATTTTACAATTTTTTCAAAAGTTGATTTTAAGAGTGGATATCATCAAATCCGAATTCTTTCAGCAGATGAATGACAGACTAACTTTAAAACTGAGGTAGGTCTTTTTGAATCAATCGTCATGGGTTTTAAATTGGTTCTGAAAACTTTTATAGGTGAATATGTTATTCTTTATTATGATGACATTGTTATTTACAGTACTCCAGAAGATGAACAGATGAAAACATCAAAGATCAGTGTTCAAAGATCATAGTCTTTTTTAGGTGGAGTCTTATGAATCCATAGTTGGCATTGCAGGTATACTGTTGCAAAAAGGTTGGCCAATAATTTTTTTCAGTTAAAAACTTCTCAGAAAAAAAAATGACCAACATATGAACTACAATTTTTTGCCGTGGTCTGTACTTTAGAAAATTAAGAGCACTATTTGATTCAGCAAGCGTTTATTTTATATAATACGTATATTATCATTAACCGTTTGGATGTATATTGTTAACATTAGAGCACTATTTTAATCGCTATTTGATTGAGCGAGAGTCTCAAATCAGTATATTATCGGACTTTTGCACATGCTCCTAGTAAAAAGCTAGGATGTTTGCTGAACCTGCATGCTAAAATCAGTGTATATGATCATCTCAAGAAATTAGACCTAGACCATGATGGTATTTCTCAGTATTATATGATGTGTATGTCAGAAATATACCCTACATAATGGTATTCCTTGCAGCTGTTAAAGGGAGAAACAATTACGAAAATTACACTCTTCTGATTTAGGAGGACACCTAGGTCGACACATGACCTTACAATGAGTTGAGAGCTGACTAGACACTTAGTAAGGTAAGATGTTGAAAGCTCTATTGGTAACTGTCAGTTTAGTCAAATGTACAAGACACAAACTAAATATATTAAAGTATACACTCCATCGCCTATTTCACAACATCCATGGCCTGATATTTCATTGGGTTTTTGATTAAGACTGCAGAGAACAAAAGAGAACAGCTGACTTCGTTTTCGCTGTTGTTGTTTGATTTTAAAAAATGGCAGACTTCATTGCGTACAAGAACACAAATGATGCAAGTCATTGCCACAGCAGTAACACATAAGATCATGGAAAAGAAACCTGCCTCTAAATCCACAGATTCGGAGTCGTTAACCCATGAATCCATAAGAGGGAGGAAAAGGTTCTCACAGTAGAGAAAACTGATTCAACTAAAAACGTATCTCCCTCTCTTTACAATTAATCCATTAGATACGCTTAGAAAAGAGGTTTGGTGGTCACCAAAAGGAGGATCCATACAGATCTTTGGGATAGAGTCTGGCTAACTCTGAAATGACTTAAACAGACTCTCAAACACTGAGATCGTTGAGAAATCTGGAAAAAAAATACTCTGGCATGACCAAAAGAGCTCTCTGACAGTGAGAGGCCCTGAGTAAATCCTAGATACAAACTGAACCACAATAGGTTTCTTTTACAAGGAATGAGACATTATGTACCGTTTAAATGTGAAAAAAAAAAAATTGGGCCCAAACTGAAACCTCCAGCCCACTGATGACATCATTACACTTCAACTAGTTTCTTGGGCTAAATTAAAAGCCAATTATATTTCTAAAAAAATTGAGGACAGAATTTGGGCCCACTTTAAATCCTTTGACGTCTAGAATATACTCGATATCTCGTTCTTTTTAAGAGAAACGTTAATGGGGTTCAGTCATTGACTAAGATCTTTAGTACTGAGTCTTTCAGAGTTTTCTCAGGGTAGTTTGTACTCAGTCTGCCTTTCAGTCGCTATCTCTCTGCATAATCCGACCGGTTTTCCCCTACTGGGCCAGTCCAACTCTAGTGTTTTATCATGGCAACATGAGAGTCTTGTTCAAATGTGTAGCATTTTCTCATGGGTTTACCCCTTTTCTCCTTTAACACCCTTTTTTTTTTTCTTCTGTTTTTTTCCAGTAGGGGAGGGAAGGGGACTCCAGCCCATTTTCCTATTATTTTGGGGAATCTAGGTGAACCAGGTTAACTGCACCTATATCTGGCGTCCACTGTTACCTGAAAAAAAACTGGGTTCCTCACAAATAAGTCCATATCTCACCCCCTTCCTACAGGTCTCAAAATCGCCCTTAGAATGATTTTTCCATCTATGGAATGAAGCTGTATGAGCTGTTGTTTTTATTTGATTTCCTTCCATGCGTCTAACCTCCCATGAGAGTTCTTGTAAGTTGCTAAAAGATAATTCCACCTGTTCATCTTTACCGATTCCTCGTGTAGTTTCCTCTAAATTTGCTGGTCTCTTAATTTCCCTCATATCGTTGGCCCATTTGCCAATTTTTTTCTTCATTACATCCGCCCACTGAGATCCTACTGATTTACGTTTCCATGCCATTTTTATCTTCAGCGTTTTCTTTTATGAGTCTAAATGAGCGATTCCTAGCCCCTCTTCCTCTTGTGAAGTTATAATCCTACAACACCAAATCTAGTGCATCCCAGTTTTCCCTGTACTACTATGTCATAGGAATGTATGGTAAGATCTCTTTTACCTTTCTGCCAATCAACATCAAGATCCCTCATACCAGACATTACAAAGGTTAATTGGCCAAAAATATACAAAAGAATGTGCTACCAAGATTTTGGGAATAAGGGCTACGAATCTGGAGTTCCACAAAAAAGGTAGATCTGACTTCATAGAAATTTCTTACACTCATTCCACGGTCCATGAGCGTTTATCTTTATAGGAAAATGGGTTTCCTTCATCTCCTCGTCTTCTGGGGACCGACAGTAACCATTGTGTAACACAAATTGAAGGACCTAAGTCAACAATTCTGGCGTTCCAGGATATCTGCTCTAACATGAGTAGCGCTGTCCACATGCCTTCACAGAAGTTGACAAAAGCCTCTAGTCCTCGCAAGTGCAAGTGCGTACGTCTGTTGGCAGCGGGGAAGTCAAAGTGGAGTGACAGAGATATGTCTGGAGTAAGGCCTTCTGTGCTTGAGCCCTGTTCATTTCTCCCACTGCTCTGGGTCAGTAGCTGACTGTCAGCCTCCCAGTGGGTAGATATGCATTTGCTTATAGTTATTCCTAATGTTACAAAGTTAATTGAAATAATACAGCAAATTAAAGAATATAAATTTGCCTCTAAAAATACCCCCATTTTTTTAATTTTCTAGTCCCTACCGGAGTGAAAGGTATTGGGATATTTATGACGGGAAATTTCAAATTAAATTCTTACGCCCTTCTAATGCAGGTTAAATGCGTAAGAGTTTAGACAAAAAACGTAGGGTTGAATTCTTCTCACCTTTCAGCAAAAAACGTTTTTTATCAAGTTCATCTGAACTTTTTTTGTGTGGACGTTTTCATGACTTCCAATCTCGTTCATTTCATGGTACCATTCTTTTTAAAGGTACTTTGTCTTTAATTTTTTTATGTGTAATTACGTTTAATTGTTGAATACACGTTTCATGTGCAATAATAATTAATCTATCCCTGTGCTGCTCAGTGAGTGGAAGGGGACATTCATTCCATGCCGTCATTCACAAGGGACATTCATTCCATGCTGTGATTCACAGGAGACATTCATTCCATGCCCTGATGGTTAAGACCTTTTGCGGCTGTACACATTCACACGTAAGAGCTGACTGATGATTAGCAGCGAGCCTTGTCAAACTGATTAAGAGCATGGTGTGATCTATTCGTTTCCAGCAAGCGTTGTCATCTATTGGTACCAGATGCATATATATTGATCCATTGGTGGTTCGTTAATCTGACGCCACTCATCACACACCAAGCTAAGGAATTGCCGTGGTAAAACGAACCTAAATTTAAGGTTGGCAGCGGTTCGCAGCAGCCGTATACTATCTCATGAAGCGCCATGATATTTTACCCTTACAGTAGTTTTGAATACGAGAATCATCTTGGCTATCAACATACTTCTTCCTTCCTCGACTGCAATAAAGGCCTCTAGATGACAGTGATAGCATTGTCAATCCCTTCCCTTCCCCAGCAAACAGTGCAGTGCTTCCAGACAATACTTCTGCAAATTCTTGCATGGTGTGGCACATCCGGATGAAGCCACACTGCCACACTGGATTTCGAGGTTTCCAAAAGGCAGTTCAAACTAAGGCAATGATTTTTTTCCTATTTACAACATTTATTAACCTTTTTTTCTCATTTGATTCCAGTTTTTGCCATG